TCTTATAAAGTCATACCCAACTACTCCAATTCCCATGGGTTTCCTGCCCATCCTTATTTTTCAATGTTTTGTGCTTTAAAGGAAAAAAAATATTTTCCTCATTTTTAAAATGACTGGGAAAGAAAATGAAGTAGAATTGATGATTTGTTCAATCTATATTTCTTTCCACTTGGATTCCACACATCATTTCATTAATTTTTTGCTGTCTTACACTGGCTTTTTTATGTTTTGTTTCTCCCTAGAGCAAACATATAGTATCTATATCTCCTTCTTCTGTTATATTTCCTCCACTTGTGGGCAGTGATTGAAAAAAAGTTCCTGATCTCTTAGGTCATAAAAATAATTGAATTTTCAACCTTTTAACCACATGAACTGAAAACATTCCAGTTCTCAGGTACTCTGAACTCCTCAAAAAAGTGTCTAACATTGTGCTTCTTTCTGAAGTACACAATTCTCAGTCATCTTTCCCCAGAGTAATATTAATGAAATCAGCCTTACAACTATTTGACACACTTTATTGCTAAGACCAAACAAATGAGCAAGAAACAAACCCTTGCTAATGTCAGATTTTAAAAATGTGTAAACATGAAGCATTTATACACGTTAGAAGACTTGCTCTAATTCTATGGTCCCAGAAGACAGGCATAAAGCACTCTTTGTGAATTGCTCCACTTTTAAGGTCTGGCATCTGAACAAGCTACATTTTGCAAAACAGACTTTGCATGAAAATCAAGGTTCCCACATTGTATTCAGTTGAAAGACCTCCCACTCATCAGTGGAGGGTTCAGGAAAATCATAAGAGCAAACCTTCATGTAAATGAAACTCAGAAACAAACTGAACTTATCTTGGCACTACCTAGGTATATTTATAAACAAATAAACAAAAATTTATCCGCTTATTAGGGTGAAGAAGGGAAAATTCACTAAATTTGTTCATTATCACCAAAGTGGTGAAGTTGCTTTGATAAAATTAATCTTTTTTTTTTAAGATTTATTTATTTTTGCATACAAGAGCTGGGATACAGGCCAGAGATGTGGGGGGTGAGAGGATACACCAGAGACAGAGTGGGGAACAGAACAGGCAGACTGACTGAAATAAACTGGCTGAGGGAAGCAGTGGGCGAGACAGGAGAGGTCTGCTGCGCCATGTGGGTTGCTCCCTGGCCAGCCGGGGATCGAACTCGTGCTGCAGAGGCTGTGGATTGCTTCACAGTGCGGTGCTTAACCCCTTACACCACCAAGGAGGCCCGATAAAATTAATCTTTAAAACAATGTACCTAGGGGAAGCAAATATTGTTTAAAAATAAAAAAAGTAAGAGGAAAAAAAATGTACCTAAACAGATTGTTAACTATCTCTTATGGAAAGCAAAATCTCACTATTAAATATATATCTCTCTATCTCTATCTGTATCTATCGATCTATCAATCTATCTCCATATCTTCATTAAAATTGTCATACATGTTAAAATAAGTGGTATACTGCTTTCTCTCCCTCCAAGAACTAGTTTCCCCTTTTCTCCTTTCACTCCTTTGTGGTTGCTCAAGAGTTGCTTTGGACGTCAGTGCCTTCAGGCTGCATAATGAGTCAAGGAATTCCAATGAGAACGCATGTGTGTTGTCCAGCAACTCCTAAGCAGCCAGGGTGGTCCCTTTGGGAAAGATGCTTCAAATCTGGTCCCCTAAATGAGTAAACAATCAGAAACAAGGCCTTGCAGCCCTCCTAAATCAAGACCCTATCTCCTTTCATTAAAGTCCTATTGATAAACATCTTGGGAAAATAAAGATAGAAAAAAAGGGGGGGAGGGGTGGGATTATAAACTAGCCAGACAGAGATTTGGGTGGACATCCCAAATCTGTTCTTCCAGGCTTCATTGTTGCATTATTTTTTTATTCATTTATTCAATACGTATACACAGAAAACCCACTATAGTCAGGGACTGACGGGTACTAGGATTGGTGCTGAACAAAATAGAGTCTTTGTTCTATTAGAGCTTTATTCTAGTGGGGCGGCAGCTAGTAAATAACTGTATGTAACAATATGGACTAAATTGTGCCCTCACCCCCTCCCTTCACCCTTCTCCCCCCTTTCAAATTTGTATGTTGACACTCTAACGCTCAGAGTGACTTTATTTGAAGCTAGGTCCTTTAAGAAGTAAGGTAATTAATTAAATGAGGTCATTCAGACAGGGCTCTAATCCAATAGGCGCAAAACTGAGTTATGGGAGAGAGCCAGAAACCCTGTCCAGTCAAGCACACTGCACTAGGTACAGATGAAGGAAAATGGAGACAGAGAGAAACCAGGGATCAGATCATTCGGGCCATGCAGGCCATGGCAAGGACTTCAAATTTTGTTCTAAATAGGATGGGAAACTACTGGGAGAGTTTATGCAGCAGAGTAATACATCTGATTAACCTTAAAAGAATCACTGTCTCACAGGAAAGAGACTTTAGGAGAAAAGGCTGGAAACTGGGAAAATGTTTATATGGTTGGTTTAATACTTTCAGTGAGAGATGATGGGGGAATGTGGGCAGAAGAGATGATCCATTCAGAGTGTATTTTCAAGATAATTGAAGATTTGTCAATAAATTAGATGTGATATGCAAGAGAAAGAAAAAAGTCAAGGGCACTAAATTGAGCTGTGCTACTGGGTAATTGCAGTGCCATTTACTGAGATGATAAAACAGCAGGAAGCACAAGTTTGGTGGGGAGCAGAGTTTAATCAAGTGTTCAGTTTTGTACATGTTAAATGTTGAGATGCCTGTTAGACATCCAAGTGGAGATGTTGAATAGGCAGCTGAATAGACCAGCATGGAGTTCAGGGACAGGTTAAGATAAGAGATACAAAATTGAGTGTCTTTAGCATTTAAACGTTATTGGAGTGAGTGAGACCATCCGGTATTTTTCTTTTTCTTTCTGGCTTAGCAGGAATTTAGAAAACCTAAATAAGGGACCAGGAAAAAGACTAATTGCAATAAAGTAAAAATCAAAATCGGCAAGCAACTATAGACCAGAGACACACTACAGTGAGGGGCGGGGGGGAGGGATTAGGGTCAGAATAAGGGGGGGTGGGAATTGTATGGAGAAAATAACCAAAATGAAAATTCATACATTATGCAAAAATGAAAAATGATGTAAGAATTATATAAAATAAAATAATATAAAAAAACAAACAAATAAATAAATGGTATTGGAAACCAAAAGACTGAATATCATTGTAACTACTGCCAGCACCTGCTTCTCAATTTACAGACCCATCTTTAGGTGTGAGGGAGGACGTAAGGAGGTATTTTTCTATCTTTCTGCCCACCCCTTTCTCTTCTCCATCCATCCTCTCAAAGATTAGCCCATCTGGCTTCAAGCAGTCATTTCCTTCATTCCTGGAAAAGACATTGGCTCTCTTGCCTCACATCATTGTGGGACTATGCAGCTGACCTCTTGCACCCTGAACCACAATCACCAGTCAGTTGCTGCTCCCATTGGGTGGAACTTGGCTGCTTTGCCTGTGGGTCTAAGCCCATAACTAGGCCTGGCCTCTCTAAAACCTAGCTGTCCAACAGAGATGTGCCTTTTCCCATCAGCCTATCTGCCTCTCTTTATCCCATTCCACAGTCCTGATGGTCTTCACTGACTCATGGCCTTCCTTCTTTCAACTCCAATAGGAGAGCAGAGGGCAAGTTGCTGACAAAGAACCACAGGCCGCTTTCATTAGTGGAAAAGAAAAACAACTGCTTTTAGTGAGTAAGGGAGAAAAGGGTATGTCTCTATGCGACAAAGATCCCACAATAGTTCTGGGCGCATTGCCACTGACCTGTGATAAAGAGGATAGACTAGAAAGGGAAAACTCCATAAACTGCTCTGTCTACATTATGGAAAATTATTTAATAATGAGGGTTAATCATGAGTCAGATCTGGAGGAGAAACTGAGGCTTCAGCCATTCTACTAGGGTAGAAATCTTCAACCTGGGATATAAGTATCTTGAATGTGAATAAGTCTTACAGACACTCACTTTCAGGTTATTAAAACTGAGCTGTCTGAGAAGGCTACTGTGACTTTCTCTGCAAAGCCTCATGCTGGTTTTCCTTTGCCACTGCCCTTTCATTACTGCCCCCTACCCAGTTTAGAAAAGAATATCCACCTTGAGGGCCTCCCTGGTGGCACAAGGGGTTGAGACTCAGCCTATGAAGCTATCCGCAGTCACTGCAGCAAAAGTTCGATCCCCAGCCAGGGAGCTACCCACATGGTGCAACAGACCTCTCCTGTCTCGCCTGCTGCTCCCCTCAGCAGTGTATTTCAGTGGATCTGCCTGTTCTGCTTCCCACTCTGTCTCTGGTGAATCTTCTCACCCCCCGCACCTCTGGCCTACACCCCCAGTTCTTGTATGCATAAATAAATAAATCTTCAAAAAAATAAAGCAGGAAGAAAAAAAAGACTAATTTTCTAAGTTAAATAGATGAGTTTCTATATTTAAAACTATAACCCAGAGATACTCCAATTACCAATTCAGTTTTGACACTTGAAAAGGCATAAGTAGGGAAACACTTATTCTCAGTTGTTTCTTATTTGCCAGGTTGTCTTGAGGTTAGTATATCAGTTAATATGTATCACCATAAATTAAACTAAATGAGAAAAATCATATGGTGGTCAGGCTGGTAGTGTATATTGTGGAATCTTTCTGGAGATGTGTCATAGATCTCTGAACATTTAACTTCCTATATTCAATTCTTTTCTGCTTAATGTCTTCTGAGTTTTAAAACCAAGTTGTGATGGATAAACTTAAACTCCAAAATTCTGTAAATTTTTCAAAATTTCTCTCGCTTTAAAGAAGTTTTTGAAATGGTTATTCAGAACTTTTCCTGCTGGGTGAAAATTTTAGTTTAGTAAATAATTAGTCTTTGGAATTAATTATTCTTGGTTAAATGGTCTTTTAAGGAAAAGAAGTCTCTCTCTGAGCTTCAAGACATTGTTATCCATCAGGCAATAATGATCACTGTTACTCTCTGATGATTTCAAATGATGGACAGACAAGTCATCATATTTACATTCTGATGTTCGGAAGTGTTAGGATTTTCAATATTTTATTTTCCAAACATTATTTTAAAAGAACATTAAAAGCATCAGAAATACAAATCTGGCCTAATGGTTAACATCAGAACAATTATAAAATGATTGAAATACATCACATACTTTGCATCACAGTAAAGCATCAAGAGAACTGATTAATGTACCCTGCTAATTAATTAGTCATATTCACTGAATTCTCCTTACTTTTTGTTCTCATTTTAGCCCTTATGAAAAGAGAAGTTATCTATGTCTGTAGATATAGATATAGATTTGGAGGTTGGCTAAGAATCTAGCCCATTATGTATTTCATGCAAGTTAAATCAATAATTACTTAATGAGCATAAAAATACTGAATACCTCATATGCACATGCCGAGTTTTCTTTATGCTATAATTTTTACCTCTCAAAGATGAGTCACACAGGAAATCTGTCATTTTTAATTTTACAAGTAGAAATTACTTTTAAAAATATTTTATATAATCACATTTGAAATTCCTGGCCAAAAAATAGACACATACCTACAAAGTGTGAAATATCTTCCTGTATAATGTTAATCATAAAGTCGTGTGTTTTATTAGAATAAATGTTAGGTTTTAGACTTAGACAAAAGTCTAATTTCTAATTTGTCATAATTCTTCAAATGATCTTGGGAGAGGATATTAGATTTCTTTATCTTTTGTTAAAAAGAGGTAATATATTAACCTACCTCGTGGGAGTACTAATAAATGAGAAGTGTTGTATTAAAAATATAAAAGCACGATTGAAATAGATTATAATGACTTCTAAAAATAGCATTCAATTACAAAAAAAAGTGAGTGGATATTTTCTCTTATAAAATTGAATAGCAAAAATAAAGGAAGACCGGAGAGAAGGAAGAGAGGAGAGTGTCCACAAGGTGCATTTAAAAACAAAATAAAATCCATATCTCATACTTAGATCTCAGAAATAGAAATGACTGGCTGATACTGGAAGGTAAGAATTGTTAGGTGAAGCTTAGCCGAGTCCTAGCTGAGCAGCTACTGTCTTCTCCTTGCCTCTCATGACCGCTGTGTTTGGGAACAGTCAGGGGAGGGTGCTATAAATTGAATGCCTTTCATCAAAGGAAAAAACTACCTTCTAATCTGCACTAACAATTCTAGAATATAATTTATAAAGATAAATTTTGGGGGAGGGATTGGGGTCAGAATGGGGGGGTTGCAATTGTACGGGAAATATAAAAATAAAATTTATTAAATAAAAAAAAAAGATAAATTTTGTATCTGAATGCTCATCTTGTGTCTAGTGGTTACAGTTCCAAAACTGTAGCAAGTTCAAATGTTAACTATATAATGGAAATATTTTGACATAAAAATATGACTTTACAGTTCTTATGCTAGGAACCACAGAATATATAATAAAATTAGGTTTAGCTATAGAAATAATGTTTTTCCTTATGATCCATCTCCAGTTTCAGAATGGGAGAAAAATAATACACTGAGGTTGCAAATGGATGATTAGGACTTTTTCTATCACAGTAATATAAAAAAACAAACAAAATTCTAAATAAGTATTTGGATACTCTGTCATATCAACAAACCCTTCTCACACAAAAAGGAAAATATAAATTAAAATACTCTGTCAATCACATCCTAATGCCCTCTTGAGCAAAAACAGAGATCATTTAACATAAAACAACAGTCTAGATCGCTTCTCACAGCACAACACCCCAATTGAGATTGTGATCATGTCTACTCTCCCAGTAGTAGCATCCCTCTACTACTGATGTAGTTCTCTTCACTGGTATCCTTGAGTAAGATCATTCCAAAAACAATAACTTATTTTTGGCAACCAAAAACATCTTTTTAAAATAAAGAAGTATAGAGTTCCTCAACTGACACAAATTAATTTCTATAATAAGAAATGGTAATAGGCTTAATACTATATTCTTGGTTTACTGTCTTATCAAAGGAAAGTACCTATTGCCTGTATATTTTTGGTAAAGATAGTTATAGGTAATATATTTCTGATTTTCTGCTTTAACACCATAGTATTTATTTAAATAAGCATGCTACCAAAAAAGTGTACTGTTCCCCATTTCCCTACTTCAAGGAATCAAAATTTGTAATTCAACATTACAAAAGTAATACCTCAGTAAAGGTCATCTCTTTACTTTCTGTACAAAAGCCAGCTCATAAGAACTTTGAAGACCCCAAGCCCTGATTCAAATGATCAAGATCAGTTTATTTTCTAACATAGTAGCATAAGCATTCTTGGTATCTATATAAAGGTTCAGTACAAAAGATTGAAGCACAGGTCAAGGTAAAATCTAAATCATAAACTTTTACATCAAATCTTAAAATGTCAAGAAACCACAAAGCAAATCAACAGATGCGAACACTTCAGACAAAAGAATTAGCTGCCAACTGTTTAGCTGAATTTTTAAGTTTTAATCTACCACTGGTCTCACAAAAGTGAAAAGAAAATCAATTAGTATCAGAAACTAAAACAGTTTACACAAGATTCTCTGACCTCCATGACTCTAAACAGAGGGGACTGGAATCTGCTTGACTGAAGTGCTGTCGTATTCTTGCATTAAGTCATTAGTGGTGTGATAATGCATGGCAATATATGAGTTGGCAAATCCAAAAGAGTTTACTGGCTGTAGGTTATGTGGGACGCTCTCTTCCTGGGAAGGGCTGCTGTTGTAGATGCTGTAGTAAGGCTCAATCCGCGTGTTGATGGGGGTCGAGCTGCTCTGACCATAGTGTTGGTGTCCGGCAGAGATTTTGGGACTTACCACACTTTCCTTGGAATGACTTGGGCCACAAGCCTGGTCTACAAATTTCTTCTGGGGCTTGGGCGACAGCATGTAGGCAGAGTTTGTTTCATGATGGGAGGATTTGTTCCTGTTGACTTCAAGGTTCCCTTTTCCCATGGCACGAAGTCGAGTCTTCTGTTTGCAACAGAAAAAACCTAGGCCTATGTATTGGAGACACCAGAGCACTTTCCTCCGCAGTCCTGCACTGTTCCGTGAATATATAAAAGGGTTTAACCCTGACTTGAAAAATATGAGGGTAAATCCAAACAGTTCAAACTGGTAAAGGATGAAGCTGCCATGGCGGGACAGGACCACCTGTACCAAGGAGATCCCCAGTGGAAGACAGCAAACCAGCACTGACAGCACAATGATCACACAAGTGACCACTGCTTTGGAATCCTTAGCCGTGGAGAGGTTGACAGCCGACACGAGCTGCAGCCGACTGGCTGCAGGGGTTGGCAGCTGGTTGGGACTCTTGGTGTATCCATGGGTCTGAACATGCTGCAGTTTGTTGTAATTCTGGTTCCTGTACAGAGCCGGCATGGTACACTGGACAGGGTCTCCCCCTCCCTTCACAGGGCCCCCCATGAAAGGCTGTGGTCTAGAAGCATCAACTGTGATTACTGGGGGGCACTTCCTGACTTGAGCATTTTTCCTCAGGGTCTGAGCAATCATGATATAAGAGACAGACACCACAGCAACACAAAAGGTAAAGTCGACCACATAGAGAGACAGAATGGCTTTCCCTTCTCCAGCAATCAGACTGGACATAGGAAGGCAGAGGTGGGACTTGCTGGTTTTCAAGGTGGCCAGGGTGGCAAGGGTGAAACTTGTGGCCCAGAGAAGCAGAGTGAGGAGCAAGGTGCAGGGAAGAGAGGCTGTGCGATTAGGCTGCTTCCCCAACACCATGTGGAGCCGGTGCAGGGCAATCACTGCCACTGTCTTGAGGGACATGATGATGAACCCTGAACTGGTGAGATGGAAGGTGAAGCAGAAAGCATCCGGTATGCTACTGGCTGAACTGAAGAATAACACAAAGGTGAACATGGGGGCCGTCACTCCACAAATGAAGAGGTCACAGAAAGACAGGTTCAGAATCATGAAATCAAAGTTGGTTCTGAATTTCCTGAAGGCTGGATCGAAGAAGGACAAGAAGACAATGAAGTTGCCATAAGAGCCCAGGCAGAAGATGATGGTGAGTAGAAAAGTACAGGTTGCCAAGGTGGCTGTGTGGATGAGTTCCTGGATTTCGTCTGGGAGAGAAGTGCTGTTTCCTCCCTGGGAGTGAGGCACATGGAGCAAGGTGGCGTTGGGAGCGTCCTGAAGGTGGCCCGTGAAGTTCATCTTCAGAGAGAAATGACTTTTCCTTCAGTGAGAAGGGAGTCAGGGCTTCAACTCACAGATGAGCAATATGTGACAAAAGAGGCCCAAGGCAGAAAAGCCTGCACATAAAAATGCATACCCAGAAAAGGAAAGGAATTAATGTAGAGAGTATAGTGATCACATGATCTTTTACAAATGCACAAGAGTTTTTCAAGCATTTCTCCCCTACAAGTCCAACACAGAACAGACACAAACGCTTCAAAATACATTCATCCAGCTAATTTTAAGTTTTATGACACAGTGGTTTTCAAACTAGTGTGAGCATCACCTGGAGAGTGTGTTTAAAAAAGCAGACTCCTGGGCCTCACCCCTTGAGGTGCTGATTGATGGGCATGGAGATGTTACATTTCAAAACACCAGACACTGGAGACCCAACATAACCTCTCTGGCAAAGAGATCTACTTGGAATCAACCTTAACTATATAATTACAGCCTAGTGTAGCAAATCATATGCTATAGTGGCTACCATGGCAACACAGAGAAGGGAAACCTAATCCAATCAGGGTGGAGACTGGGAGAGGGTGAGTCTTGGTGATGAGGAACTAGCTAGGTGGAAAGTGAATGGCAGGAAGTTGGGACCAACAAGCTAGAAGGAGGGTAGGTCTTTACTGCAGGAAGACTCAGGCAAGAAAGCAAACGGTTGAAATACAAGCAGTGGGGATTGCTCAGGTATACTGTGGACCTTTATATAAATCCCACAAATTACTAACAAACCCTGTTTTTTTCCCTAGGAGGAATCTCTTATTTTACATGATCTATAATTTCTTTGCCCTACTTGCAATTTCTTGGCTAATTCCACACCCTCCTTTGTTAAAAACTTTGTAGAGGACTATATTTAAGAGGGGTAAATGAAAGTAAGGAAGAGAGTCAGAACTACAATTGAGATTTACAAGGTATAAAGCACCACTTTGTAAACTAAACTGCTACGTAAATGTAGCATGAATATCCTCATGATGAAGCAGGGGGCTTCCACTCATTCATGTGTTCATTCGCTCAACTTACAATATCATGTGCCTCCTATATGCCGCCTTTTGCCAGGTATTGAACTGAAGGTGCAGAGATGAGTAAGATAGCCTCTACAAAAAAACCTTACTTAGTTCTTAACTTTTTTTTTTTTAATTTTGCAATGAGATTTGAACTGCACTCACACAAATCTTTTGTTCCAAGTCTCAAAGCCCCATGTGGCCTGGTGCCCACCTTGCTCCCAAAGATGCTTCCAGGGAGACAGTTTAAGTTGTTCCTTGGAGACTGTTGCAAAGCTCTTGAAAACTGAAAAAGCATTTGCTTTAATTCATGGTTTTAGGAAAAACAAAAGGCACTGGGGAGGTCCAAGGATGATGTTCAGAATATGTAACCAGATCCTAAACTGGATCCCAGATGCCAGAGGTTTTGCTGAATCACAGGGCACAAAGAAAGGGGCAGGTCAGTGAGGGGATACTGGGGGCTCCAAGTAGCAGCTACAGATAGCCCAATATAGAAGTCTCTCAGCACGCTACAACAGGCACAACTGTGCCAATGAATATCAGATAAACTGCAGTTCTGGGGAGAACCATCTAACTGACTGGTGTGCTTCATGAAGAAGATCATCTCACCTATATTTTCAAGTTCAAATTGCACACATCATGACAATATATGACTATCTCCACTGGGAATAGTCATCAGCTTTTCTGCACCTTCCTTATGCAGGTTTTATGAGAGAGAAAAATATAAATCCTGACCTTTTTGTTTCTTCTTGATGAGAACTTGAAAAAGTGGCTCACTCCCATTGTATTTACTTAAAGCTTGTACAGTTATTTCTGAACAATTTTTGATACCTATGTTTTAAAAGACTACTTTTTTTTAAATTGTTAACTGGAGGATGGGTAAAATGATGAAAAACAGAAGTAAAAGAGAAAAATCAATTTGAGGGCCTCCCTGGTGGTGCAAGGAGTTAAGACGCAACCTATGAAGCTGTCCGCAGTCTCTGCAAAACGAGTTCGATCCCCCGGCTGGCTAGGGAGCAACCCATATGGTAAAGCAGACCTCTCCTGACCTGCCTGCTGTTCCTCTCAGCAGTGTACTTTGGTCAGTCTGTCTGTTCTGTTTCCCTCTCTGTCTCTGGTGAATCCTCTCACCCCCCACACCTCTGGCCTGTACCCCAGCTCTTATATGCATAAGTAAATCGTCAAAAACATAAAAGGGAAAAACCAATTTGAATAAAAATAAAGGAGAATTCTAGGTTAGTAATATAATAATATTAATGGTCAGTATTATTAGTATATTAACTTTATTAAGAGTTTATGATATGATAGGTACTTTGCTCAGTTTTTCACACTAATAACCTTCTGAACCCTCACCACAACCCTGAGTTAGTATAACTTACATGCATTTTACTGATGAGGAGACTGAGTTAGTGAGACTCTTACTAGTTGCTCTTTAAAGCCCAGAATCTTCACCACCATGTTCGCAAACAGAACATCAAAGAAATCAAGGGAGGGAACGCCAACTCAAAGTTGTTAACTGTTCTTTGTTGGGTGGCTATTATACACCAGGCACTTATGCTAGCTTTACATAAGTTATCAAACTTTATTTCATTCTCACTATAAGCCTCTGAAGTAAGTAGTGTAATCCTTTTCCAATTGAAAATTCCTGGAAACCAAACATTGAATTCTTTCTCTCCTTTTTCTCTCTCACTCTTCTGTGTACCGCTTTGACAATACTGATAACTATGGTTCCAGGTAATTATAAATTACTCCTTTTGGGATAATGGTGGGGGGTGGGGGAGAAGGAATTAGAGTTTGGGAAGGGAAAAAGGAGGGAAAGCAGATGACAGAAAGGTTTTGGAAGAGTAAAATAGGAGCAATAAAGGAAGTGGAGGGAAAGTAAGCCCAGGACTTAGTACTAATTTCTAGGACTTTAACAAAGAGCAGGCTCACAGCACAATGTAGAACAAAGTTATGATGGCATACCCACGAAGCTCGGTGACTTGGAAAGGGAGTAGATCAATACCTATTTGCTACCCTCAAATATTAAATGCTATTTTCAATGCAGCAAGCAAACTGCATTGGAATCACTCATAGGTCTAGAAGAAAAGGTGAGTATAAAATCATAAAATCAACTCCCGTGCTGATCAGTAGTGGGATCGCGCCTGTGAATAGCCACTGCACTCCAGCCTGGGCAACATAGCGAGACCCTGACTCGAAAAAAAATAAAAAAAAAAAAAATTATAAAAATTAAAAAATAAAAAAAAAAAATCATAAAATCAGAAACATTTTAAATTTGAACAACGGCGATAAGCAGGCATATTAGTCACAAAAAAAGGGGAATGATTTCATATGCATCTTGCTATGACAAGGAAGAAAGGATCCCAAAGTAACTAGCAAGGGGTACTGAAAATGTATTGTACAGTGGCAATTTGTTCTTATTCAGATGTGTGAAGAGCCTCTGAAAACCTAGCGTGCTGCCTTAACTTTTTAGTGTATATAAAAACATTTTATATGTACTTTTTTCTTTTTTTTCCTTTTTATATTCCCCATACAAGTACAACCCCCTTATTTTGACCCCAATCCCTCCCCTCCGCGCCCCCCACCCCCCATAGAGTGTCTCTGGTTCATAGTTGTTTGTTGATTTTGATTTTTACTTTCTTATAGTTATTCTTTTTCCTGGCCCCTTATTTAAGTTTTCTAGATTCCTGCTATGAGTGTGACCATCCGGTATTTTTCTTTTTCTTTCTGGCTTATTTTTATATGTACTTTTGTCAGTCAACTCATGACTTGGAGTATTCCAGCCCTCAACCTCCCCGCACCCCCACCACCTTTTGTTTGTCTCATAAAGACTTAAATTCCTTCAGGCCGGCATTTTCAGGGTCTAATCCTCACAAGTAGCGAGAGTCCGTATTATTATTTTTCACATTGTGTTTATATTGATCAGGAAAACCTCAGGGAAGTTACCTGACTTGCCCAAGGTTACTAAGATTCCCAGGTACAGATTTATCAGATTTCAGAGCCCTTGCTCTGTCTCCCAGAATGGACTCTCTAGAAGATGAAGCAGCTGCTGGTGTTGAGTCCTGAAGACCTAGGTCGTGGATGAGGGCGGGGGGAGGCAGTGGAGCCCCCCAGTTGGGCGGTGGGGTGGGAGACTGGGGCGAGGGGTCTCCCAGGGTCACGGGCAGCGAAGTTCAGGAGCTCCCGGAATGGGGAAGGTTTTGGGTAAGGCGGGCCTAGGCCGGGCCAGGGAAGCTAGCTAAAGAAGGGGCAGTCAGTGGGGTGTGGAGGGCTCCCCGGGGCCTGGCGGGGCAGGGCTGCCGCGGCACCCGCGGTGCGCGAGAGCCGCAGGGCAGGGGCGCGAGGGCCTCCCCGCAGGCCGCCCGGGGCGCAGGTGCGCGGCCGCCGGGCCTGGACTAGCGCACCGCGCGCCTTGCTCACCCGCCGGCCTCCCGGGGCCTGGCCGCCCGTCTCCGCGGGGTCCCCGCCCTCGGAGGGTCCTCGGCCTCTCACCTGCCGGGTGGCCGCAGCGCCGCCCCTCCTCCTCCATCTCGCAGCCTGGACGCGCGCTCCGCCCGCCGCCCCGGATAACGCAGGGCTGGAGGCATCATCGCCATGGCCGCCGCCTCCGCGCATCCCGGAGCCACGGCGAGCCCCGGGCGCGGAGGCGCAGTCACGGAGACGCGGAGGGCGCCGCCCCCTCCGCGGGACACCCAGGCCTGGGCGGCCCCAGCGCCCCCCGCACTGCGGCCGCCGCGCGAGCTCCCCCGGCCCCGGCGCCGCCCCGCCCTCGGCCCCCCGCGCCGCGCGCTTCTTCGGCGGGTCGTCTTGGCGTTCGGGTGTCTGCGCTCCCCGAGGGGGCCAAAACCTGACATGCAGAGAGAAGGGGAACGGTGGGGGCACCGATGGCACGCAGAGGCCCGAGGGCCGCGGCCTCAGCAGGTAGGAGCCGTGGGACGTGGGACGGGGCCGGCTGGGCCGTGGGCTCCCTGCGCAGCTCAGCAGGACCCAGGCCCGGCCTAGCTCCCCTCTGGGTTGCGGGCAATACTTTTCCTTACTTGAAACCGTTGTCGTCGTTTGGAACTTTGAGACAC